GAACCCCCCCCCCCCGACTTTTTTTTTTTTTTTTTCTTCTCTAAAATTACTTCTGCCCTTGTCTTAGATGGGAGAAGCTTTGCCTAAACGTTGGCTCCTCTGCAAGGAGCAGAGGCGGAGGAGGAGAAGGAAAGTCCACAAGTGACCTAACGATGTTCTGAAGATCTGGGCAAAGAAAATACAACCTGCAAGAGTGGGGAAAAATTCTGCAAAAGAGCAAAACACTGACGGTGACCACTAGCCCATGGCCAGGGAAGCATGCAAGAGCACGATAAGCACATATCGAGGTTTCCCTCAAAAACACTTGCAGCCTTCAGAAATTGGTGGCTCTGGGATAAATATCTCTGTATTTAATAACCCTCGGTGGATTTATTTACTGTGCTTTTTTTTTTTTTTTTTGAACCCACAGAAACCTTCAGCATCAACATCTTGCAGCAAGGAGTTCTTCCCCATTGACCCTGCGTGGCGTCGCCCTGTGTTTGCACCACTCTGCCATGTGCTCAATTATTTTTATTATTTTTTTTTTTTGTGAGAAAGACAATGAGAACAGGTTTGGATCAGCACGAAAAGAGGGAAGGCACAGGGAAGGGGAAGATGCAGGAAAAAGAAGTTATTTCTCTGTATTTGAAACCAAAGAGAGAGTGAATAAGGGAACAGATATGCAAAATTGCCCACAATAAGTGATGTTAAAAAAAAGGAATTCTTGGGCGTTTTTTACATGTTTTGAATATTTATCATTTTCAGTATTTCAGTACAGTCAAGCCAATCGCAGAGTTCAAAGAGGAAAAAGGCTACAAAGGTGGTGGTTGTTTTTTTTTTTAATTTTGCCCAGGCTGTTGGCAAAGATGAATAAATCAAAGGGGAGGAGGGGGGAATTCCAATAGGATCATTGCAAAAAAACGTCCAAACAGGTCAACGGGAAGCACGCGGGTAAATGACACCCCAAAAATCCCCATTTGCAGCTGCGCCGTGGAGAGCGGATGCAGCCAAACAGCTTCGCTTTGCCCTTGGAAAGGGATTTTCCGTGGGGTGTGAGGACACCTTATATTTATTATTATTTATATACCTTACGTTTATTTATATACTTCATATTTATTATTATTTGTATTTACCTTATATTCCTGGGCAGCTTCTTCAACAGGGACCACGGTGTGGAAGCGGTGAGCCTGGGACCTATCGCAAACCACACAGATGGGCTGCTGGTCCTCCTTGCAGAAGAGCTTCAGAGCCTCCTGGTGCTGCCTACACAGGAACTCCCTTCCTCCTCCTCCTCCTCCTCCTCCTGCCCGTAGGCTCAGCTGCCTGGCGATTTCGGCAATTTTTGCCAGCTCTCTGCTGGGACGGAAACTCTTCTGCAAAGCCGTCTGCCGGCACTGGGGGCAGGAGAAATGTGCCTCCAGCCCTCCATGGCTCTTCCCAACCTACCTTCCTCCTGGATAGGATCAAAGGAGCTTTGTTTTGCAGGAAAGAAGAGGAGGACCTTCCTCCTTCTGGCTTGGTTGCAAACGGGGGAAACCAACTCCCAGCCCTAACGCCACGGAACGGCGGCACGGGGAGGAGTGAGAAGAGGGCGAGCGAGCACGATGCTTCCTCCTCACCTCCTGACGGCCTCCCACCAGTTTTGGTTCCTTTGACTTTCTGAGCCAGATGTGAGTCAGCAGATAAGAGGCTGGAGGAGGGCAGGGCGGTCCTTCAGCGGGACCAGGACGGGCCGCAGAAGTAACTGGGGAGAAATCTCATGGAACTCAGAGTGGGATACCCTCCTGCATCAGAACCAACCACGGAACAGGACTTTGGGGCCCTGGGGGTGACAAGTTGTCCATGAGTCAGCGGTGGGACCGTGCACCAAAGTGTTGTGTCTTCTAGGCCAAGTTGGACGGGGCTTAGAGCAACCTGGTCTGGTGGAAGGTGTCCCTGCCCGTGGCAGGGGGAGTTAGAACTGGATGATCTTTAAGGGCCCTTCCAACCCAAACCATTCTGTGATATCAAACCCATGCAGGGCTGCGTTAGCAAGACTGGAGAGGAGAGGGATTTCTCCCCTCCATCAGCACAGGTGAGGCCATATCTGGCTACGGGGACCAGTTTGGGGCTTCCCAGTACAAGGCAGACAGGGTCAGGCCACCAAACTGAAGCCCAGGATGGATGGGAAGAGAGATTGGCATTATCCAGCCTGGAAAGGAGAAGGATCAAATTGCTGCAACCGCCCCACAGGCGGCAGAGCCAAATATCAAATCTCTCTCTCATGCCTCTCATTACACCCTTCTAATTGTTTAATTACCCATTTTACTGATGTAAATGGAGCTCCTGGTCCCATAGGCATCCTTGCCCTGCTTTCAACTGCTTTCCTAGGCTTCTACCTTTGGGGAAAGGGCAAGGACTTGATGAACCTTCATCTGAACCCTTGTGTCTGTTGTATGTTCTCAAGGAAAAAGTCCAGTCTTTTGCTTGACCAAAGCCCGGTGCATCACGGATCGCACTGAGTCGGCACCAAAAGTAGTCCCATTTCTATGTGTTTATTCCCAATTCTGACACCCCCCCCCTTTACACACAGAGTCAGGATCCCACCGAGCTGCAAATGACTCCAACCCCTGGCTTGCTGCAGACTTTTCTGCACCTCTATTTCCACAGACTTGCTGGGTCTGACAGTGCAGAAAACTCAGGTTTTATTACCCTCCTGTCCGATGGGTTTTAGAGAGGAACGAGGATGACTTTTCCTTCCTCCAGTTATTTTAAACAACTGTCAAAGAAAACGCGTAGGGGTGAAAAAACCAAAACACAGAAGGTAGAAATTACTTAGAATTGCACATTTACTTTTAATTCCCCGTCAGTGCAAATTTGCAGGTGCCCAGTAAGAGCCATTTAGTGATTAAAGGATCAAAGTATAGTTTAAGGCACGGAAATCCTCCCATTTTACACCAAAGGAAAGGAATCTGAACACCGCTATTCTTTCATGACCCTTTTGTTTGGGGCTTCGGCTGCAGGGAAGAGGTGGTCCTTGATGGACCACGGGTGACTTCTGGCTCCAGCAGCTACATCTGTATTTTGCATTAAACATGTAAACAGTCATTAAGGTTGGGATATGCCTGGGGAGTCCCCCTTCCCGTGATTCCTCTTCTAGGTTGTCCCTGGCATATGGGCTCTCTGGTCCCACCAGTTCCCTTCCCACTGGGTGGTTCCACCTCCAGCTGTGGTAGCACCTGGGATGGAGAGATGGGTCTACGGCTGTCCAGTCTCTCCAGCCCGGGACAGGAATTTCTGGAGGGTCATCAGAGCTCGGAGCCATACAGAAGCTTTGCAGAGCTCCTGCTTCACGCAACGTTTTGCACAGCCCACGTTTATTGCAGGACCAGGAGCTGCAGAGGCTTATAGTGGAACTGGGACAAAACTCAGATCTTGCTTTCTTTCCCAAGGGTAAGTGGATGTTTTTTGTTTATTTCTTTTTTCTGCCTTGGGAAAAAAGTTTGAGCTGAGCATTCCCTGTCACCAGGAACCACGGGTAGACTCTCTCCTCTTTGAATGAAGCCTGCGGAAAAGCAAAGATCCGTGCCTTGCTCACAGCATCAAAAAACACCACCCTCCCTTCGTGATAGTCCAAGCAGACCCGTATCTGCTGTGGGATGTTGTGTAGAGTCAAGGGGGTGACATTAGGAGAGGTCAGAGCCTCATAACTCTCTCTGTTATGACACAATGCCCATACCCCCGCTTCGGGCTTCAGGGGAAAGCAATGCTCCTTCAGCAAGGACCCCTTGGCCACCCCCATGGCCCACACGCCTTCTTTAGAGATCTCCACGTCCCAGCAGTGCCAACCCGATGCGAAGCTCCTCGAGCCCACCATGCATTGCGCGACATTGAACTGTTCCGGTTTGAAGGGTGGGTCCTGCCCATGGTGTACCCACTGCACGAACTTGCAGTCTTCCAAGAGGTAAAGCCTGGCTTTGGCTATCTTTGGGTTCAGCGTCACCTGTGCTGGAGTTGGGGAGAAAGTCAGGCTCGTTGAAGATTTGGGGGACACAGGGCTTTTTCTCTCCCTTCCCATCCATCCCACCCCACTTGGGACCCCTCCAGGCATTGCTTCGTGGTGGGACGAGGATGGGAAAAGGAGGAAAGGAGGCAGCAGAGCACTTTAGGTTAATCTTTGGGGGCAGCAGAGCTTTTTTTACCGTATTTGTTTTTATTTCGTATGCTGGATTGGTTGGGCACGTGTCCGGTTCACTTACTTGTGGATGGAAGTTCAAAATCCAGTAAGTCTAGAAGAAAGAGAAAGAGAAGAATGTGAGAGGCTGAAAGATCAATTGGTCCGATTCTGGATTTCTGCAAAAATCCAGAGAGTCAGGACCAAGCTTGGGGGAATGCAGAGAAACTTGTGGAAGGGGAGGAGAAAAACGGGATACACGTAGGAGATTCCTCCACACACAGAGGGGCTGCTGCAAAGAAAATGAATACAATGACTCTTTGGAGCGTGTCTGCAATGAGGAGCACAGGAGGGCTGCAAGACACTATCTCCACGTAGTTAATGGGAAATATGGGGGACTCGATGCAACAGCAGCAGGAGGCAGGCAATATCAGACCAACACTCGTTGCCCATTTGCAATCTTATTATTGGATCTTGGGGAAAAAAAAAATAAAAATCCCCCATTCAACAGCCAGGATGTGTTTCTTTCGTGTGGCTTCACTCCATCCCTCCCCACCAAGAAACACCACGGCATTTTCCTTCCTGGACTTGCGCGCAGTACCTTGAAATTTCTCCATAGTCGTCTTGATGACTGTGGTTTTCTCTGTGAAATCACAGAATTTCTTTTCCAGCTCAGGGGAAATATCGAGTGGCTGCAAGGCAGGTTCCTTCTCGCACCTGGAAGGGAAGAGGGGATGGATTTACCGTCTGCTTGTAGTTTGCTACTCCACGTTTTACCAGCAGTCCATGGGCAGAATTAGTGGAGGGAAGGTGATGAGTCTGCGCCATCTTGAACATCTCAGCAAATTGCACAGCATCATCACTCGTCGTTAATTAAGTAGAGAGGGAGAACCCTCCTTCCAAGCCCCGGTGTCCTCAGGCAAGTCCAAAGGTGATCTTGCAGAAGAGCCAACCGTTCCCCATGTCATTTCTCCCAGTAGCCTGCCACAAAGCTGCTCTATTGTGGTGAAATTTTGATAGGAGAAGGACTACATACCCGGTCAAGGTGGTTTTGATGTTCTAGATGAGAGACAAAGAGAGACTTAGTGATGTTGAACACCACCCCTTGGAGCCCCAGGGTCCCACTCTAATGATGTCCCTCTTTTAGCATGTTGGGGTAGAAAACCAAGAGCTGGAGACCAAGCTGGTGCCCAACCAGTGCCTTCACAGCCAGTTTGGAAAGCCCAGGGTCTCACCTTCAGGAGTTCACAGTGTGGCTGTAGGTATGTCCTCTTCAACTCCCCAGTCAGCCTGCCCAGCCTTGTCGTCTTCTCCAAAAGCCTGTTGAGGATTTCTTGATGCGCGTTTATTATCTCTGTGTCCAGCTGCTCCAGCTGGGCCAGAAAAAAGGACTCCTGCTTCTCCAGGAACTTGTGCAAATTTTTATATCCCATCACAATCTTCTGCTTTTCAGCTTCTTTCCTCTTCTGCCAAGGGCAAGCCGAAGTGGGAAAAGGAAAGCAGAGGGCAGGACAAGAGCATCAAGGGTCAATGGTGGGCTGTGCATTAGTGTGGTCCACCAAAAAGAGGCATTTGGGGAAGATGCAAACCCCCTCTCCCTTCCCTACCCCCCGTGAGCCTCACCCACCCACGGCAGAGAGGAAGAGGAGATGTTTCTCCTTTCTTCCCCTCCATCCTCGTCCAAGCGAAACTCATGGGCACCTACCTTGTAGTCCTGGACTTTCTTTTGTCTATCCTCCACTGAAGACTGAAGAGCCTTATGCTCCAAATTCAGGAGATACAGTTTGTTCTGAATTAGTATCTGAGAGGAAAGAAATAAGTCCCTTGGTTAATGGCACTGTAGTCTTGCACGCTCGGCAGAAACAATGGGGAACTCTTGACTGCTCCTGAAGCAAGCGTTGGCAAAGCTTTGTGACACCCATGACTCTTTCAAAGCTATTTACCTCCATGGTTTGTTTTTTTCTTTTATTTTTGTTTTTTCACTTTTTTTTTTTTTTAAACTAAGGTCAAGGAGACTTCCGGGAGCTGTGGGGTAGGAGAAGGGCGGAAGACCTCTTTCTCTTTTTTTCCTACTGATCTTCAGCAGAGCTGATCTCGATAAGGGACCCACACCCTGGAGGAGTGACACATTTATGGCTGCTGTATAAAGAAGCCTTCATGAGGTTCAGTAAGCCCCTGGCATTGCAAATCATGAGGCTAAAGGGTCACACAGGGATTGTGGGGGTGAGAAATTGTACGCATCTGCTTCTTACCCTTGCCTAAGCCTCTGCTCATGGCCAAACCCTGGGGGAGAGGACCCCTTGGTCCCCAAGAGCATGAGGCTCCTATGTCCACCTCAATAGTTGGTGTCAAGAGATAAGGGTGGGTGAATCCACAGGTGGTTTATCCCACAGACAAAAGGCTACACAGGTATCCACACCCATCAAGAGCAGCCACACCAGCAGTTTCTGACCCTTTGTGCCTCAACGTGTGCCCATTAACCCCTCACCTTGTACTCTCCGGCAGCCTCGTCCACAGGAACCACAGAATGGTTGCGGTGCACCTTGGACCTGTCACACACCAGGCAGATAAGCTTTTCTTCATTTTTGCAGAAGAGCTTCAGGGCTTCCTGGTGCTTCTCGCACAAGTCCTCCACTCCTTCCGCCTCTCTGCCCCGTTGCTGGTTCAAGCTCTTGGCAATTTCAAGGATGCTGGCCAACCCCCAGTTGGGTCGGAGGATCCGCTGGGTCGCCGTCTCCCTGCAGTGGGGGCAGGAGAAGTTGGTGGTCAGTCCTTCCCAGCTCTGAACGATGCACGCCCGGCAAAAGCTGTGCCCGCAATGGATGGACACGGGGTCCTGGAAAATATCCAGGCAGATGGAGCAGGAGACTCCATTCTGGAGGTTTTCCACAGACGTCCTGGCTGCCATGAAGAGCAACCAAGTTTATTTTGCTCCTGGATGATCAGGAAGGACAGAGATTTCTCTTCCTGATCCAAAGTCATTGGTTAAACTGAGATCCAGCCCATTTCCAGCAGGGCTTTAGGCGATATCTTTACTTATATTGCTCTGGGAAGTAGCAGCTCAACAGCTGAGGAGGAAGAGAATTGGAGATGCCCATCCCATTTTAACCTTTCCCCTCAAGACACTGTGATTTCTCCAAAGCCTCTCCTTCCAATCAGTGGAGATCGGTGGATTTGGTGACTCAACAGCAGCTAGAACAGGAGTTTTGGGGCGGGCGACAACCACTGGTTGAAAATGCTTCTGAGAGATCAGGAGGGACAGGACCTGGCCAGGGCTTTGGAAGGACTTTGATACCCTTCAGGACAGCCCCTGTAGGGCTCTTTGGGAGGACTCCAGCATCTCTTGGATGACCCTAAGTGTTAAAATGCACAATTCGCTGCAGGGCAGGACCTTCCTTGCGGTCAGAAGAAATTTCTGCAGCTCCTGGCCCCCGGGACATCTGCTTTGCCCTTGGGGTAAGGTGGGACATCAGACCAACACCCTGCAGACACTGCTATGGATCAAAGATGCTCAGGTGTCCCTGAAGATTGCTGGTGCCTCCAAGACCCTGCAAGGTCCTGGCAGGTTTCTCTGATCTGCGGTGATGGAGCTGAGAGTCTGGACTGATTCTTTTCCTTCCTTTTCTGTCTTTTTAAGTGCCCTTACTTCCAAAAATGGTGGTTGTCCCTTCTTTCCAGCGTCATTCATTTGCCGTTGCCCTACAACCAGTTCCCAGCCCAGCTGTTTTCCAGGCTATTCCCTCCCATTACAGCTGCGATGAAGCAAGAACGGCTTCATTAATTGCTTTCATTTGAGCTTTACAAGAAGCAGGTCAAGAGAGGGCAGCAAAGCCTGCCAGGGTTTGCCCTGCTGGTGGTGGCAGAGCACCATTTCTCCCCCATTTCTCTCTAACAAGAAAGAGAAAACAGCCCGCGAAATATAGAAGGACACTTTAATACAGTCATTTTGCATATAAAAACTTATATAAAACTGCTTACGAAGCTTCCTGAGCCAAATATATATATATAAAAATTGCAAAAAGGCAGGATTCCAGCTCTTTCTGTTCATCTTTACTTCTCCCAACCTCTGATTTCTCCCACCCCACCACCCTGTGGAAGGCAGCTGAAATCCACAGGGTTCAACAAAAAAGCCTCAAAATGTGTATGTTCTTGAGGGTTTTTGGCTCATAAGATGTCGGGGGGAGGGGGGGGTGGGGAATAGCAGGTATTACACTTAATTCAGTGGTATCCTCTTTTCCTTTGTAGTAACCAAACCAGGAACCAGAGCCAGCTTCTTCAGCCATGCAGGAACGTCATTGTTGAATGTCAACAGTCAACACGGTTGAACGTCAAGGAGAAATTGGAATAGGTGGGAGAGGAGTAGAAGGGATTAACGCTGTGAAATCGGTGTCCCGGGGGCTGTTGCACAACTCATAGGCTTCATTTTCCTGCTCGTCCCAGGCTGATATTCCCTAGCGAAATCTTGGAGAGTACCCAAATGTTGTAAAACCCAGACGTCTGCCCAAAATGACCCCTTCTGAATCTGCTGCTCTTGGAAAAACCCCATGAGAATGAGATTCCAAGTGGATACCGGGACTTGTCTGTTCCACTTTATTCTTTACCGTCCACAGAGTCCTGAAATACAGTGTGGTTTGCTGGATGAAACCAAAGGCTTGTCCAGAGCACGTAATGTCCATCTTGCTGTCTCAGGGAGCCAGCTGGATCCTGGACTCCCAAACCCAGAAAAAAGGCAGGATTTTCTCTCCATTGAAAGAAGTCGGAGGAAAAGCAAAAGCCAAGGTCTCGTTATCGACGTCGAAGAAAGCCACGTGTCCCTTCTCGTAATCCAGAGAGACCCGGATAGTCCTTGGCCTCCCATTCAGAGGCTGAACTGTTTCGAAGGAGGTGAAAGCTTGAAACCTGTCCCCACAGATGCCCACGGCCCAAATCCCCTGGGAAGGGTCGAGGTTAATCCAACCCTTTCTCCAAGCTGAGTCTCTGGCCACCCCCACCGCCCAAAATCCCCTGCTCCCCAGCTGCACTTCCCAGTAGTGCCTCCCCACCGTGAAGCCTTCGCAACCCAACACGGAGCAGTAGGTGTCAAATCTCTGGGGGTTGTCGGGCAAATTCTGGGGTGTTTCATCCCACCTCACGCTCCTCCGGTCCTCGGAGAGGATGAGGTGGGGGTTTGCTGTGTCTGGGTCCAGAGTCACGTTTGCTGATGGGGAAAGGAAAGCATGAGAGAGGGAAAAACAACGTGTCAGAGGGAAAGCGATGGACATTTCATTTCATCTACACCCTCCTGTTTTTGTCCCAGGGATGAAATCTTGGCCTGACCGAAGCTTTGGTAAAGGCTTTCTCCATAAATATCTATTTAAAGGCTCTATTTTTAATTGCGATCGAAGTGGAATAAGAATTCACCTTGCCAACCCACCAGGAAAGCGCGAATTCCCCGCTTTTGCTGTCTTTTTCTCGCTTGGGTCCCCCTTTTTCACCCCAATATATACCTCCAACCTCCTGAGACTTACCCCATTGCACGTCCAGTTCAACTGGGAAACTCTCTGGAAGGGAGAGAGGAGGAGAGAGAAATGGGTAAATACACGGAGGTGCACTTTCCCCCTTCCAAAACAAGTAAAATCACCGGGAGAACAAGTCCAGCTCATCGATAGGTGGACCTTCAAACCCAACACGGGCAGCTTTACGAGGAGCTTTCTTTAATCCAGAGTTGGCTGCACCAATTACCAACTGGAGATCAGAGGAGGGAATGGGACAGTTATCTGAACGTGGAGAATGGTCTCAAAATAGCACATTTGAGGCTTATCTATGTAAACACCGCCATCCGTTTGCAACACGTTGACTTTTCACGCTGACGCCCTCATGGATGGCTAGACGTTACCTACGGTCTGTTTGGTTTAAACAGGCCCGCAGTCAAGAATTCGATTCATTTCCTTTGTGTAACTGAAGGGAGGGACTCGCTCTAGTCCTTCGCGTTACTCAAGCGTTCAGATGCCCGTGTAAATACGCCTGGGAACGGAGTTACCACCTCTTCTTCCAGCTCCGGCCCCAGATAGGAGGGTTATTGAGTAACTCATCGTTAGCGTTCCTTAGCTGGGGCTTTATGCTGGTAATTGGCTGCTGTCCGCTCCTCTCCAGCTGCAGAAGCGTGTTTAGATTTTTTTCCCGTTCTTTCGTACCTTTGAATTTCCTCAGGGCTTCCTTCAGCACGATGTTTTTCTGAGATAAATCCTTGAGTCTCTCTTCCACTCTGGGAAACTTCTCTGTCAGTTGCTGGAAAGTCCTTGCTTCACACCTGGAAGGAGAAGACTTTTGTATTCCTTCGTTGCTGAATGCGCTACGTAGAAACCCTGCTTAGAAAAGCTGCCAGGTGAGCTTATCCCTCCCCAAGCATCAGGTTGAGTCAGTTGAGATGTTGCTGGGCATATCAGTGGTCCCCGTGTCCCTGTGAAGGACGCACTTGCTCTGGACCTCCTCAGTGGTGGATATCGGCTTCCTCCAGCTGAGTGGAAAAGGTGGTGGGGACGTGATCTTGCCCCAAGGCCACCTCCTCCCTAGATTCTTCCTCACCCTGAGCACTGGGGACCCTGGTAGAGAGGACAACCCCTCCTGCTCCCCCACTGCTGTCGGCTTTGTGACATTGTGCTTGGGGACAACCGTCTCCCTCCGGAAAGGGAGAGCCACGTACCTGGTCAAGGCACTCCTGGCATCCTAAAGGAGAGAGAAGATGGGAATTAAACTTTGAGCGATCTTCAGGCCCATTTATATCTCTTATCTCCCTCAGCACGCTTTGCTTGGTTTAGATTTTCCTGTGCCGGCACAGAGCAAGGTCAGGGACCTCTTGTGCTCATCCAGTGGCCCATTTGGTCCCTTCAACCTGGTCCCTGGTGAGAAGAAACGCTCAAAGGCAGCTGCTGGAGTATCGTGTCCACTTCCAAACACTGCTTCTGTGCATCTATCTCATGGAATGGTTGGAGTCGGACCTTAAAGACCATCTACTTCCAACCTCCCTGCCATGGGCAGGGACACCTTCCACTAGACCAGGTTGCTCAAAGCCCCATCCAACCTGGCCTTGAACACCTCCAGGGATGGGGCATCTCCCTCGCTTTGCCTGGGCTTGGGAGGGAAACAGTTGGTGGGTGCTTCCAAGATGCTAAAAGACTAATTCTGAGGCCCTTTTCTTCATGGGTTGGATATGACATTGATGTTGGCGTACAATGTATGACACGGCTTCTTCATGGAATGAGCACCTAAATGAACTACTCAAAATGGCGAGGCAAAGAGATGGGGGAAAGAGGGAGGACAGCACCACCTCAACGGCACATTGAAAGCGTTGCAAACTCCTCTGCCCAGCGCCTCGCACTCACCTGCAGGGATTTATTCTCCGGCTGTGGACTCATCCCTTCCAGCTCCCGGATGAGGTTGCCCAGGTGGGAGATCTCAACGGAGATCTTCCTGTCGTTCTCTGTCTGGGTCTGCACAATCTGCTTCTCCACGTCCTCCAGCCACATCAGGAGCAGACGTTCCTGCTCCTCCTGGAACTGGTGCAGCTGCTTAAACACCGACATGATCTTCCACCTCTCGGCTCTCGTCTGCTGCTGCAAGGAGCAGATGGGGAGGGATGAGAACAGAAAAAACCCGAGACCTACAAAACCTGGTTAAATAAAACTGGAGCAAGGACTGCGATGCCATGATAAAATACTTCTGGCCATTTTTGGGGCTTTGTTTTTATTTTTTGGCTCGAGAAACACACGGGCAACGTTGCTTCATGTTTTTCCCACAGCCTGGAGAAGACCAGGCGTCACGTGCAGGCATCTTGCGAGTGTTCGATGGGGCAAATCCTGCTGGGACAGTGTTTGAGGACACCGGGGTGAGAGGAGGATTCAGATGCGGTGAGATCCTGCCGGAGGCTGT